CCCTCTGTGTGTGGTCGAAGATGGACTGCGTCTCTGTACAAGCCCAACATGCCACCATGCACAACATACTACTGCTTCCGTTCACCTGTCGCCGTCCTTCCACGTCTACCTGTCCATGACACATGCTGCGACTTGATGCGACAGCATCTGGGAACAACACCGACACAGGGAGTACCCCACACGCGCAACCTCTCATTTCTCCCTTGTCAAACACAAATGATGTAGCATGCATGAACTGATAAACAACTCTGTCTTTACTTTGGTCCGCGCTGCCTACAAATGGGAGAGATAGCCATACCTCCTGCCTACACATGGACGAGAGAGGTGAACATACCCATTGCATTTAACACACACCCACATGTCGGCGATGAAACCTCACAAACCACACGCCTCTATCGGCGACCACGTCATCAGGAGGCAATGATGAGAAAATGTTCTCCCGTGCCCTTTGCACATTTAACGACATGCAACTACACAACATAACCAATATGAGACACACAAGACAGCTACCAAACTGAGTTTCTGAGCCTGTCACCCGCAGGGAAGTTGTCCCTATAGGCTGTCTACGAAATCGTAGACATACAGGTAATTTTCTCTGACGCTATAATTCCATTGTTAATCTGTCTCTGACTCTTTTCTATNCCTAGGAAATCGTAGACGTACAGGTAGTTTTATCTGACGCTATTATTCCATTGTTAATCTGTCTCTGACTCTTTTCTATGATNTACATGTTTTCCCGTGCCCTTCGCACATTTAACGACATGAAATTCCACAACATAACATATATGAGACACACAAGACAGCTATCAAACTGATTTTCTGAGCCTGTCACCCGCAGGGGAGTTGTCCCTATAGGCNTATACGGTGACACCACTCCCGGGTGCCCGCACATCAGCCGCACATACTCCGCACATATGCATACCAAACTGAAAATACGTACGTAAACTGATGGAGACTGTATGTCCTACAACTAACAGGGTGCCACACAAAAAACGCCCGACTAACAGCAGTACCCAACACCTCTCGTCTGCACCTTCCCAACATAACATATATTAGACACACAAGACAGCTACCAAACTGATTTGTTGAGCCTGTTACCCGCAGGGGAGATTTCCCTATATGCTGTCTGGGAAATCGTAGACATACAGGTAGTTAGTTTTCTCTGACGCTATGATTCCATTGTTAATCTGTCGATGACTCTTTTCTATGATAAGAGATGGACTCGTTGTGTCTAGTATTAAGAAAAAAAAAAATTCAGCACGCACCGCAGGAGGGAGGTGGGGCATGAAAAGAAATAAAAAGGAGAAAAAAGCCCTGGTGCTTACCCCCTCCTGCGTGGCCCTGGATGATTGTAGTTGTACGAAACACTGAAAAAGTGTAGTACTCTACATACGCTGAAAAGTGTAGTACACGTCTCACCACGAAAAATGGGGGGACTGTCGCAATAATAAATAGGACAACACACACACACACACACACACACACACACACACACACACACACACATTCCACGGGGTTTCGGCCTTCGGTTTCGATTTCTTCGAAGGATTGACGTGCTGTTGCAACCCGTCTCGCGATAAAAGGACATAACCCGCGTCCGAAATGCCGGAGATACTGTGATATCAAACATGCACTGCGCAGACTGCAGCTATTGGCTGCGTGGCTCGCATGCGGGCACTTGACTTTCGTTTATATTGCATGGGGCTGAAGGGCGCTGAAGGGCGCTGGTTGGGGCGCGGTCCTTTGTTTCCCCACACCGTTTTCTTTGTGCTGTACGATGTGTGCCGTGCGCTTGCGCTACGACAACATTTCGTCGACACTGAAATTGAAACCGCGTGATTGGACAGTTTCATCTTCCCCGCATTATCTCCGCATGTACTTCGACTCCTTGCAGACATTCTCCCGTCCTGCGACGGGAGTCTGGCCGCCTGCCCCATTGGGGGGCGGGGGGCCAATCGTTCCCCCTATAGTATATATCTACTGGGCAATGGAAACACGAACAGGGCAGCTCCCTCAAGCTGGAAACACCCTATACGTTCCTTGTCGTGAACAAAAGTAAGACAAATACAAAAGGGCTCCCGTATGACACCGGTGATGGATGTGGTGTGTGTGTGTGTGTGTTTTTTTTGTCCATTCTGACTCGAGTCGTCACCTTCGAGTCAACAGTGGGGTCACACAGGAGGATCACGGTACCGCAGGGACATGGACGGTCTTTTTTCCCGTTCGTTTCACTTCCCCTCTTCTGTTTGCTTTCCTTCGAGACAAGGGTTCAGCATTCCATTCCCTCCCAATGCGTATACACGGACAAACCCTCACGAATTGAACGACTCGTTGTCCACCACAGAAATAATTTGGAGTTGTAGCTGCTTCTCCATCCTGAGAGAGATTGGAACCCCTAATAACCTGGTACCATTACAAGATTTTACGAGGTTTCCCCCTAGACCGCCGGGGTGACCGCTGCATGAACCATAGACTGCGGCAAGAACAGATGGAATGACAACACACCCACACCGCTACGGACGAAATCCGGACCACCAGTCCTTCCTGCTGTCTAGGCTGTGGAATATACTCCCCAAAAGCGAAGGCACGATGCCGCAGAGTGAAATTGGTGCAACGAGCCATCTCTTTTTCTTCGCGAGTTTGGTAGTGCCCCGCGATCATCACCGGTGACCACACGGTAGGAGACCGCCGTCGAAACTGAGGGGTTTGCGCTATGTAAAGTTTCCGGCGGTCTTGCGCCGTGTATTCCGTACTGCCCGTCGCCAACCAGGGCAAGTTGCTGACGCGTGCCTAGCCCCCGAGAACACTTTTCAGTCTCGCCGCTTGTCCTTCTCGAGAGGTCTCTGAAATCTCCGAAAATCGAAAACTGGGGTTTGCAGTGTAAGGTACGCAGGGGGAATGGGGCACGTGCTGCGAGCGAGGAAAATTTCCAGCGTTCGTACCGTTGGATTATGAAGGAACTTCGAACAGGAAACTCGATTTGGCAGATACACAGCTGTGTCCGCCTGCTCCTATTCACAGCATTGGACATTTAATTCGACTCAGGCTCAAAACGTTTTGCCATATCAAGATGAGTCGTTTTTTGCTGTCGTTTCTATGTTTGCCGACAAGTACAATTGGTACTTCTGAATTTTCTTGTTGCCTCCTCTCTCTCTCTCTTTTCAGCCAGTTTCTACCCGTAGTTTCCTGTTCCAACTTCCTCAGAACACAATCAACAAACCTAGGTGGTCGGGGCGGGACCTCGCTGGCAACTTCCATGGACACCCTTTTGATGGAACTTGTGATTACTAACAGAGCCATAGCCGTACATGTACTCGAGTTCCACCGCTTCCATTGAAGATGTTATTGAAGCTTGTCAGACTGTACAACAGAAGAAATGGACCAGCTGCAAGATGGTACTTCGTCGAAGTGATCTGCCACCATGATGGCTGTCTACGACCCGCACGCCCCTCAACCACCTACTGGAATACAAGTATTCTATGAGAGAGAAAAATCGCGACCCCCGTGAGAGAGAGGAATAGCGAGCGACGAGATCATAATGCAGACAAACTCTGCAGTCCACGGTAGGTTCCAACGGTTCCCTCCTGTCATCCGCTTCCCGTCACGTCAGCAGGCCGAGGTTTTGAACGGTGAGCATATCACAGCGAATCCTGATACACCAGCAAGCTTCATGTCGTCGAGGTTGAGACTCTCGGCATGGTTCACCGCAGCGGTGTTGGTTATTGGGTCAATGCTTCTCGTCGAGTACGTCGCACTTCTCGGAGGCGGCAGTGGTGGTCCGACACACGGTTGGCCAACGACGCAGCCACCACCCGAGGCTGCAGCAGCACCAGTCTCACTGCGCCTCGTACAGGATTCTCTCCCGAATGACGGCAACGAGAGGCCCGGGGAGGACGAGGGCGAGAGGGAGGTGGCGGAGCGTCAGGCAATGGCGAACAGCTCCAGGAGGCTTGCAGTCGTTGTCCCGATACAGGCGGCCGACGTCCGAAAGGCCCAAGCTTCCCTGGCTGCATGGCCCACTCGATGCCACAGCTCCACGCTAGTCAACACCGATCTGGTTGCATACTATGCCGGAGGGGACGACGAACACGTCTCTGCGATGCTGGCGACGATCGAGCAGACCGGGGGGCGATGTTTTGCTCGTACACGGCTGGTGCTTGCACATGCTAGTGACAAGGTGGGTGACTGCCCCATGGGTTACGAGTAATGCTCTACCTCCGCTGCTCCCGTGTGCTGTACTGATCTAGACGTAGGAACAGCCAAGTTGTGATAAACTACGCGTTGGCCACCTCATTTAGACAGCCAAGATGAGTTTCCCCCTCAAGCACGTGCCACACCCACCCCACGAGTTTTGAATGATGGGTACATACAGCAATCGCACAAGGTTTCACCCCACAGCTGCAGGACGGGTACAAGGTGCCGCTCTGGCGTCAGAAGTATGAAAATGAACGTGCGCGTGAGGAAGGCGTGCTGCGTTTGAGATGCTGACTTTGCCGCCCAGAAGTGCTCACTCGCCGAAGGTTTGACGATGTATCCCGCACAACTTGCTGTCGTTCTATAGCGCACCAAAAGAGGCGAAACCCGAGCAGCAGGGGTGATCAATGGCATAGTTGCCTATATGCAATGCTGTAGGCTAGGGATGACGGTGTCGTACCCCTCATTTAATGTAAATAACTCAACCGCGGCACTAGGTCGGAGGTGCTGTTGTTGATCCGATACTCTCCGTGACGTCTTCACACCTATCGGCTTGGCCCCTGTAGTCCCAAGCGTAGCTGCCGCATTGCAATGGACTGCAGCAAGCGCCGTCTCGAAAGCGCCACCTGCTTTCTAGCGCCGACGAGAGCGTCCGATCGTTCCGTCCACACCTCACGGAGGCTTTCTGAAAATGCGTTTGACACGTTCCAAAGTATTAATATTTAGTTGGCTTACGAATGTGGTACGTAGCGCACTCTTTCCCCTTCTCTATACATTCGAAAACAAATATCGTTCATTCGTCCACATGCACCCATGCCTCCAAACGCCGCAAGTGGAGTGCCTTCCCATGACTTCAGGAGCTGACACTGCGTTCGTCCACTTGCATGCCGATAGGCACATGTGTGATGCCGCTATGGCGCCTAAGCTACAGCTGTTTTTTCCTTACCTGATCCACTCGATTATTGTCTCTGTGACGTCTGTATTGCGTTGGGGCGGTCAGGACAATGAACGGCCTAAGATGGCGTCAATCCAGTTCTACAAGCTCTACCTGGATTCCACCATCCGTTGCCAATTTGCTGACTATGACGCCTTGGCGGTGATGGAATGGAACGTGATCGTGGCACACGATAGGAGGTGCGTGGGGTTCCGTATGAACCCTGCCGTATTCATACATCTGTTCTGTGTGCGGTGCAGTGGGCTCGTTGCATGCTGAAAGTATGGCTTGGTAGTTTGGCTTGGAGTCCATTTCGTCTAGCATAGACAGTGCGACGTATACTTGTTTCACCATGATATCGTCCTCAGCTCAACTCTGTCCGAAGCAAGCGCCGTCAAACAAGAACAAGATTATGATTTGGACTGGTGTTCGAGCTTGATTAGAGCTTGCTTTGTTGCTGGCCTATGCCTGATCTGAAATGTTCGGTTGGGCCGTTCCAATATCCTTTTGCTCACACGCCGACATGACTCAACACACAGGCCGCATATATCACGACACCCGGCAGCACAGGCGTTCGTCAACACCAGTCCTATCGGGCATGCTTTCAAGTGATTAGTCTTACCTATTGAGCGGCTGACCAAACTATGTTACACAAGGCTTCATGAAGAAAGGCGTTTTGTAAATGTATTAGTGTGGGAAGGGGTGGCGGTGAACTAGTGTCGTTGCATGCACGCCAGACACACAATTCACCAGCATCATCACCGAGCAACTGTTTGGCCAGCGAGTGTGCGACAGTGGACCGCCCCTGATGCTTTGGATGGCAACTGTGCGCAAGCAAGCATCATACAAAATGAACGCGTGCAATTTTAACAGGACTCACTCCGTTGCCACGCCATATTGACACATTTTCAGGCCCACAGCGTACCGCCCGCGGCACACTGCTGTGTGTCCCGTTCTGGTTTCCCTTGTTCTGGCCCCTTCACCAGGTGGATGGTCACTCTAAAACCCTAACCCTGACCCTAACCCAAAGCCTTCACGAGATCGACTCCAGTAAGCACGTTTTTCCAGGACATTTTCTGTTCAACTTCGAGCACCATCGTCGAAGCAGGCAGCTTGGCCTTTCACAACTCGACATGCGACAAACTCTAACAACAAGTGGCCATCGCTCCGGGCTGCTACGTGCTGATACCATTTGTATTCAGCTTCGAAGAGCTCTACACGGCAGCTTTCGGCGGAGTAGAGCCTTTTTGGGTCAAGGGCAGCGCTTTGGTCAGTGGCAGTTCCCACGAAATCGTGGTACATTCAGAGAACCGGACCACGGTCGGTCACATCAACGGGAACGCCATCTACAACAACACTGACCAGACCTTCGTGGATTACGTTAACTTCACGGTCACCCGCTGGGAGTACACCCTGCCGTACGACGAGGCTTTGTGGGCCACTATCTCAGACTTTCCTTACAGCTGGCCTTTATGGCAGCGTTTTTCGAGAAAGTTCGTGACGACTAACTTGGTGAGAAGAGCCATGCATCTTGCAGGCCGCTTTATTCATCGAGAGAATTGATTTTCAGACTTATCTTCTGTGGGTTCGCCAGAACGTATGCGTGTACCTGTGGTGTTACTGACTTGATCCCACACGATTTAGTGTTGCATACGATATCTTCTAGGAGGGACATGCGTCCGGGCAAGAGGCAGCAGCTTCAGGTTCTGCTGTCAGCATGTGCGGCCTTGGAACTTGCACATGTTGCCGAATTGGTGCTAAGACGAAGTGAGAGGGCAATTCCTTCTCTTTGGCGAACGAATCGTTTCACGTATTAACCTTCCTCCTTGCTACCCCACCGTGTTCGCCCGCGCATACGTCGCAGATCGCCAACGTGGGCGTTCACGACGTAGATATCCGGGAGTTGTTGGACGCTGTGGCAGGCGGCACACTGTTTATCCACGGCACCCCCACCGACGGGGGTGTTTCCATGGTTGGCAGCAATGAGCTGGCAGAGAGGTGCACCGTTTCCTGCGGCTTCCGGTTCCCCAACGCACATGCGACGATGGCGCCCTCCGGGACTGCCACAGTGTGCGACCGTTCGTGCTACGCTGGCGGCAGGGACGGGGCACGTTTCGGCGGCCACTTGTGCGGGGCAGGGGACGTCGCCACTTATGGTGCGCACTGTCGGACTTGCTTTACCGACTTGGGGGAGGCAGAAGCGGCAGAGGATACCCTAGCCCTCCAGGAGAGGCTCGTTTTGGAGAGGGAAGGTGACACGAGAACAGGAAATGTTGCATTTGAAAAGAGCTGGAGAAGTGATGAGGCGGCGTGGACTTACGGACGAGGGGGTGAGGGTTGGCCACAACAGGAGGTGGGCGAGCAACATGTGGAGGGGGGGGTAGGGGGGAACAGGGACAACCGGGAGAGGGGCGCCGTGGGACACCAACGGCAGCAAGGGGGAGTTAACATCATGGAACCGAAGCAGGATCGCGACATGAACAAAGTGCAGCCCATTCTTGAAAAGCAGCGGCACGTAATTATGTGCGACACCCTGATGCCCCCGCCGGCTGCCTCTGGATGTAGTCATCAATGCCACGAGATGGACGACGCGGTGAGTATTACGATCGAGTCTTAACATGTACCAGCAGGTCTACGTCATATGCTTGGGGTGCGGCCGGTTTGGTCTCCTTCCAAAGTGTGGCAGCGAAGCTTGGGGCGGGTCACCGTAAACACTCAAAATGTGGTCCTCTTGCATGTACCATGATCGCCCCGTTTGGCATGCATGCGCTACGTCTGCTTTGTGGCTGCGTCGGATCGGTATCGGGCACGCCGGCTTTCACTGAACACCGGAGCCTCTTTCACCCCTGGCGCCTGTCATCGACACCTCGCTGCCCAAGGTGTGCGATCGAAGTTGCGGAACCGGGCGGCACGGGGACTACAACTGCAATTGGAGAGGGTATGGCAAAAATTGCCGTTATTGCTACAACGACCGCCTACAGGCGATGGCAGCCAACGTGGTCGCAAGACAAAGAGGAGGATCCGTCGTAATGTGAGGCAACTCTCGAAGGCACGGGCATTGCAATTGACACATGCTCATGACAAGGCCATTCCTTCGGGTAATCCATCCAAAGCCAGCTTCCCTTGGGGACATGCATTCCCTCATCAACATTTGGAATAGAGCGGAAAGAGCAAACATATTTTTGCTACAACCAACTTTTCAAATCTACAGGTGTAACACCTTCGAGCCACCAACAGAGGATGAGGACTGGGAGTCACCAGTGGAAGCCGAAAAAGTTAGGGCGATGGTCAAACTTGACGAGGAAGCCGATGCTGATGCCCAAGAAAAAGCTCCCCAAACAAGCATGCCGTGAGTGAAAGATAGCGCCGGTTGTGCGTGTGAGGGTTGCTGTAGCATAGAGTAACCAAAAGAAGCAAATTGCACCTTGCTCCACGCCCATCACTATCGCTCCACCGCCTTCTGCACCTTTCGGGGAGCTTCCCACACGGTCCATTGTTTCCGCTGTTCTGTCCATTCTTTCCTGTGTCCATCATGTGTGAAATGTCCCTGTGGTATCCCTCAGGGCTCCTCTACCACATTCCTTCAACACGGGCAGCGCGACTTTGACCGATGAAGCCACTTCATCCAATCCAGCCAACGAACCATTCGTGACGGGAATCAAGCGCGGCCAAATATGTGCCTTCCTGACAAGTAACACATTCTTCCTCAAGGAAACGCAAGTATCGGTCAAGAGCATCGGCCAGTTCATGCCTGGGATGCGGGTTGCTATCGCGACTGATGCCAACGACGTCTCGCTCTTCAAGAGGTACATATGAGCTTCCCGTGAAGGAGAAATAGGGACAGTAGACATATAAATGAAGAGCAGCATCAGGTTTCACGCCTTTCCGTTGCTGGGAAACGTTTGACAGCTTACATCTCGCAGCCCTTCGTTTTGTGTAAGGGGAGCGCCGTTCCACCGTTGTGCGCCATCCGATAGACCGTCTCATTGTTGTTTGGATTTGTCGCCGAGATCGGTCTGTGTGATGTGTACCTGTCAACGTTGTACAGCTTCTTCAGAACGTGAAAGTCCTCTGTGACTCTTGAGTGTTCACGCGCTGGTATTTCTTTCCATGCTCTTTACCCACGCAGCAACCCGTTGCTTGCTCTTACCAATGTCACGTCCACATATGATCACTCCCGCACATGTGCACGTTTGTACCCAATCTGTCAGGGTCTTCGGGACTGTTCCAGAAGTTCGAGTGTCGGTGGCAATACGGTCCACTAGCCGGGCGCCGCTTTTGGCGGATCGACATTGCGGGGAAGGCACGAAGTTAATCTTGTATATGAAAGCAGGCGAGCTTTTGTGGCGAACCTTCACCTCTAGGGACACGCACTCGCCCGCGGGGGACCTGCTAGTGGCATATTCTGAGGTACGCCAGGGCATGGAGTTTCGACACCATCCTAATTCGACCGGCCCTTATTCGATCGTCTTGCAGTTGACCACGGTCAAAGCTAGGTGCTTGGGTGTATCTCGAAACGCCGATCGGCGAAGGTGTACTCTTGGCGTCTGTTCCATTACTATATCGGAGCTGTCCCATCATCGAGAGATTGTGTTATAGTGGTAGGAATGGACGGGGTTAGCAGCGGCTACTGAATGCTGGGAGCCTACAGTTCCTTGGTGCCGAAATTATTACCTATGGGAAACGTTGCTCGATGCGTGCAACGGGCTTCAAAGCCGCCATGATTTGCAACTATCCAGGTCACTTCATTCAATAAAAAGGTTCGACATATGCTGTTCTTTGAGTCGATGAAAATGCTCAAACTTGTAACTCGGGGAAGCTCCAATCGTCCAGCAATGTAATTTATTTTCAAAGTTGAACATATTGACCATGTTGGCACATCCTGTGTCATTCATGGCCCACCATTTTTCACGCATGGCCGGAACAGGGAACATTGAGTACACACGTCCATCGGTGCCTATGCAAAAGCTCAACACACAACTCACTTTTCGGCCACAGGAAGCATGCCGACGGGCCGTTCCACAACATTCTTACCTTGGACGGAGGGGGGTGGTTTGCGGACTGATGCGCCTTAGCCGCGTGGTCCACACCACGTAGGATCTCTTTTAAGCTGTCCCTTTTTCCTAGACATTCAACGCCAACAGAGTATTGGAGCGTCGTAGATCATCGTCGAATGTTTGCACAACCGCACAGCCGCACGGTACAGCCCGCTCAGTGCGGAGTGTTCTATGGAACCGGACTTTCTCAGACAACCTTACAACATGTAGGCTCTGTTCATAACGTCCAAGCTGATTGGTGTGGTTCTGCATTACATATTTACTTGTCTCTACACTGGCATTGGCGTTCTGTGTTTCGACATCAGTCACTCATGGAGGCGATGCAGGCGATATTTCGGAAATCCAGATTGCGATCGTGCGCAAACACCGGTACACGAGAGCCCTTGTCACACACCCCGTCGTTTCTCGCGCCCACACCATTCGATCGAATGGGTAACGAATCAACGCGTGTAGTTGGACAGGGTCGGACAGTCGAGGAAAAACAAAGCGCTTGCCGCCATGTTAGTTCTAGGCTTCAAAGGTCCATCGTTCTCGTTCGGCACCGACATCATCCTGCCGGTGGACGTCAACCGGGAGTTACGGAACTTTCTGCTCTCAGACTCTACGGCGGTGAAGGGCAGGGTGTCAACGAACGGGGACTTACAGGCCGTTCATGCTCTCGGTAATGTTCCAGGTCTTTATGTTCCTGAGGTGAGCAAGAGAGTGTGATCAGGTTTTCTTTCGACGAATGTGTGATTATCGCAACAGTTCTCGTCTAACCATTGTTTGTCCATGGGCCGTGTCTCCGTTCCAGGGCGAACACAAGGTAGAAATGCGAGGCAATGTTTCTGGTGCTTATCACTAAGTCATGGCGTGTGGCTGACTAGCAATCAAAGTGTCAAGGGTGTGTTGCTGTAAGTCAATAACAGTCTATATATGGTACCCTGTGTCTGTTCTTTCTGGAACGCCTAGGTTTTGGCTTCCTTCGCATACTCCCGCAATGCGGCGGGCCTCCGGTTCATTAATCCAAGGCAGTGGGTCACGCACCACATGTTTCAGAAGGCATCGATTTGGGATATTCCTCTCGTGAAGCCGCGATTCAGCTGCGTCATCGACATCTCGATGGCGGTGAAGGGGTACGACGTCGCAGCCGCCCTAGAGGAGCAACTCAGCCACTTCGTTAGCGGAACTTCATGCGCGTGGGGCAGCATCCACCTGGACCCCGCGCTTCTCCTGCCGAAGACCGGCATTGAGTTCGGGTACCCGACGGGCAAGGATATGCCCTCCATCTCAACCCTCAACCTGAGAGTCAGCGTGGTCTTTTATTTAGGCCGAAGCGCGAACCCAACGCTGCTGGACGCCTCTATCTCAAGCGTGGCTGTAAGGTTCCCCGAGGCGTTCGAAGTTGTGGTGGTTTTCACCGAGCCCCCGATCGAGAGGTCGGGCCTTGAAGACGTCCTCAACGCTTACATTGATGAAGTACCATTCGCCGTGGAAGTCATGCAAGAAGTGGATGGGTCGGCACATTCATTGATCGGCAGCCGGTCTCGCTGGTCCGGACTGCAGGCGGACGATCACTCGTCAGGGCAGTTCGTGATGCAGCTCGAAGTCGGAGACATTTTGATGTCGGATGTGACGTACGAGAACTTGTTTTACTTCGGCAAGCCGGTGATTCCATACAAGCGCCTGTCTCTGGGGGGCGACGTGGACAGTCCGGCAGGCGGTAAGCGAAGCTATGTTGCAAATCTAGACTGCTATCGCATGCAGGAGCGAAGCTACGACCTAAAGAAAATCACAACTGATTCACCTCGCCGCCCCCCCGCTAGACCCACCCGTTTTTCATACAAAGCAGAACGCCTGCGCGGTACACAGTGACGAAATGCCGGACAGCTTGGTAGGTTTCCCTTTATCGGTCAGCTGAAGCTTGCGTAATGACGGTCGTCTTGCACACGTAGCACACGTGGACATACTTCATATTTCGGATACTTTCGTGAGTCCATGAGGCGTAGGAAACACGTGGGGCGAACCGGGTTTTCGTCGGGTTACCCAACGCACGAGCAGGGATCCTTCCTCTCTTGCGAAGCCTCAAATCGTGACCACACAAAACGATTTTTGTACATTAAGAGAGCACCTAAACCGCTCAACGTATGCGTGAAGCGTCGCACTATTATTTCAGCACACGATGTGTCCCCCATACGCAACTTGTGTGAAGTGGGCTCTCAGCCCCAAGGGAATTATCTAAACAATACAATATTTTGGCCCTCCCCGGGGGTACCAACATTAGGTGTGCGATGACCTTTTGCGTGCACCTTTCATGAAAATTCAACATCAAGGTAAGTGACCCTACGCATCGCAACCATTTTCAGTGCTGCAACCTTCGCATATCTGCACGTCATTGATACGTTCCCTGGTCGAGAGATTTGTCGCCGTGGCGCATATCATGTGAATGAACGTACATATTTCCACTGCTCCCCCTCTTGATATGCCATGTTTGTTACACTCCAGTCGAATGATTTGGCCTCTTTGTTGTGCTGCATTGGTTTTCTAACCGACCCCTACGTTGGCGCCACTGTGGTCTCTTCTCTCTCTCCCCGTTTGTCTACGCATTCCGTCGGTCGGCCACCCTTTGACCTCAAATGTTCGATATCTCGAGCAAAGGTTCCATCATGGACAAATATCTAGCTTGCGGAATCGAGGCGATCGTTGACACACACGAGGTCCGGGACTTCGCGGTGCTCAAGGGTCTGGTGTACCCGCGAGCAGCATACTCAGAAATGAGACAATTTGTGAACGATGTGCACGGCGTCGACGTCGATAACCTGACTGAGCTTGTACATGGGCGCTGTCGAGGGGCCCTTGGAAAGAGCGTGTTGGGCGACCCCCCCCCGATTCGTCGTTGGATTCTCGAGACAAGCCTATTGGCATCATTCGTGTGGTGAGTTTTCTGGTAATGATCGGGTATGCATCGCTGTCGCGGCATGCTATTGAGTGTTTGGTGGGTGGGTGATGGTGCTTCGTTCCGTATGGTCGTGACCAATGGTATGTCGCGACGAGTTGCTGCATGGGCTCCTCTTGATGCACGCCACTTCTCTGGCATTCCAAGACGTGTAAAACAGCGCACTCCCACTTCCTTGTCGCGACCCACCCAGGCGTTTCATGCCCGACATGATTCACTGGAGGGCGTTGGATCCGTCCGACATCGAGCCGGACGAATGGCTGTTGGATGTTGGCAAGTACAACATCTGGTGTTCCTTGGGTTCCCTTGGGATCACTGAAGCCAACCCAAGGGCAACAAATCTTCCAATAGAACGAAGGGGAGTTGTATGTGATGAATCTTCATACGAACAGCTCCTTGCACGCCAAGGACGTGGTGGTGTATAAAAGACGTAGTGCTGGTGTAGGCCGCACGTGTGCAATGTGCTGACGCACACCCCGCTGAAGGCGGCAGAGACCCCGGAGGGGCTCTAGGGGTAAGATACACGGGGGGCTATTGCCCTCCACGTGGTCCTCAGAGTTACTTACGGGTGGATGAGATGCAGCAGTCAGTGGGTGGTGAGCACAGACTGCATATCAAGTGGAACGCACTCAAGATGGTGGGAGACCGTGTGTTGACATTCAGTGCACATGTCGTAGATTCGTGCATTTCACACGAGATAGATAGGTGCTGTTTTGCAGCAGCCGAAGATTGAATGTGCGTCATCGGGCGGTAAAACTGCGTTGGAGTTGCCATCAAACGGTGCATTCTAGACTTGAATCCGCGGAAAAAAATGGTTGGAGTGTGTGTGCTGTTTACTGTGTGACTGTGTGTAACTTTGGCTGATGCTACAGGCGCCATCCGCAACTGACCGTCATGAATTTTTGTTGGGAGGGGGATGGTGATGAACCATCCCCGGCTAAAGTCTGAATTTTTTTTTCGTGTGTTGGTAGTGCTCGATTTCACCACCCGTCGAGGTTTGGAGGGAAAATAGGTGTCTAGTACCTGGGTTTCATTCAGTTTTGTTGCTTCCACTAGGGATGGCCCGAAAAAATCCCCCCCCTCTTCAATAGCTCTGATTGGGCTAAAAACTTCAGCACAGGGTAAAGGAGGGTGGAGAGTTGCGAATCCGTCGTCAGATTTTCCAAATTCATCGATGGCACCGAGTTACAGCTATCCCAATACGCCAAAACGGCGGGGATGGAAGGCTACCATCCCCTCCCCTCGAAACCTCAAAAAGCCGGTTCTAAGAGCTGTAAGTCTCAGTACCGGGTAATTTTGGGGTGGGAATCAAGAATCTTGAATCAGAATGGTCCACTTCGCTCTCGGGTTTGAGAAACAGGCGTGGGAAATCGACGTATTTCTGAAGGATTCAGCACAATACCGTTTTCTTGAAGTCGACCGGCGCACCTGAGCTTTTGTCTGATCAACTTTCTGAGTGGCTCTACCCCCCCTTAACCGGCCAAGCGGAATCGAATGCCGAGGTGAACAAAAACCCAATCGGTTGTGAACGCGTCGATTTTTTTTGTTGAAGGGGTTCCCGAACCAATATTTTTTGTACATTTTTTTGAACGATCTTTGGCCTGTTCTGAAAGCGATATAAAAAACGGTTTTAAAAAATCTCTTTTTTTGAGCTGCGCCAGGCATATAACGGTCAGTTGCGGATGGCGCCTACAGTGGTATCGGACTACAGCAATAACATCAGTGTTGGTTCTAAATACTAGGCGCAACCAAGATGCCAAACCAAGCCGGCTCTAGATATGGAGTCCGTCAAGCCCCACGCCCCTATACCAAAGTTCTAGGTCGTGCAGGACGCGCCCATCTCAGTCTACAGTAGTTTGCCGCCTTTAAAACTGACGCCTTTGTGCGGAGGCGTCGGTAAAAACGACAAATTCACGAGACAATCGGGGAAGTAGAGAACAGGGGTAGAGGATAAAGCACTCATGACATTTTAAAAAGCGGCATCTTGGGCCAGTCCCCATGCTTTATCAAAACTAACACGTTGGACATAATCGTGTCCAGTGAGTTTGACCAGCGGTCCCCACGCCATCTTCAAGGTCAACACCCCCCACCGTCACAGTCAGGCTCATGCCGTAGTCAATTTGCAGTGACGGCGGCAAACTACTGTAGACTGAGATGGGCGCGTCCTACACGACGTTGAACTTTGNATGACATTTTAAAAAGCGGCATCTTGGGCCAGTCCCCATGCTTTATCAAAACTAACACGTTGGACATAATCGTGTCCAGTGAGTTTGACCAGCGGTCCCCACGCCATCTTCAAGGTCAACACCCCCCACCGTCACAGTCAGGCTCATGCCGTAGTCAATTTGCAGTGACGGCGGCAAACTACTGTAGACTGAGATGGGCGCGTCCTACACGACGTTGAACTTTGGTATATGAGCGTGGGGCTGCAAATTGACTACGGCATGAGCCTGACTGTGACGGTGGGGGGTGTCGACCTTGAAGATGGCGTGGGGACCGCTGGTCGAACTCACCGGACACGATTATGTCCAACGTGCTAGTTTTAATGAAGCATGGGGACTGGCCCAAGATGCCGCTTATTAGAATGTCACGAGTGCTTTATCCTCTACCCCTGTTCTCTACTTCCCCGATTGTCTCGTGAATTTGTCGTTTTTACCGACGCCTCCGCACAAAGGCGTGAGTTTTAGAACCAGTAGTAAATAGCGAACAAGTAGCGTACCCATCAAGAATAACGTGGCCACGCCACGAATATTCGCAAAATTGAGCTGCATTGCGCTGCCCAATTGTAACTGTGTCCAATTCCAATGAACCGACCTAGTATCCCAACCATTTGTAGTATACACCCGAATCATCAAAGAATAAAAAGCATCCCGAACTGAAATACCACGAGAAGGACACCGAAGAAACGGAAACGAGTAAGCGCCGTCAGAATGAGTAAGAACAACGAACGCCGTCGGAACGACGAAAGGAAGAAACGTATTGTAGTCGGAATACGAAAACGTGCAACTCCGAACGACAGAAAGGACCGTGTCGACAAGCCGTGTTTACACATTGACAATAACTCCTTAGGACTTGTTTAACGTGGCAAGGCTAGGTTCTCGGGTTATAGTTATGGTTACGGTTCTGGTTATTGTTACGATTATGGTTCTGGTTATTGTTACGATTATGGTTATGGTTATGGTTATGGTTATTGTTATGGTTATGGTTATGGTTATGGTTAGGGTTATGGTTATTGTTGGGGTTAGGGTTATGGTTAGGGTTAGGGTTAGGGTTATGGTTATGGTTATTGTTAGGGTTAGGGTTAGGGTTATGGTTATGGTTAGGGTTATGGTTATGGTTAGGGTTA